AAAAGAAAGAAAATCCCCAAAAAGAAAATACTTTCATCATCATTCAACACTTTCACCACACTCGCACATTATCACTGTTTTTGCAGAGGTGCTCAGAATACAACAGTCTAGAAGCATACACATATAAAGATACACAACATATCCCTCCAAACTGCCAATATCCCAAACCCCTCCTTTAAAGTGCAGGCATTGTACTTCCCATTTCCAGGACTCAAGTCCGGACTATATGAAAATAACCGGTTTCCCTGAATCCCTTCACTAAATATTACCCTGCTCACACTCCAACAGATATATATATACGATATATATATATATATATATATATATATATATATATATGGGTCTATGAAAGATGAGGTGAATCATAGAATTGATGAGGGAAAAAGAGTGAGTGGTGCACTTAGGAGTCTGTGGAGACAAAGAACTTTGTCCTTGGAGGCAAAGAGGGGAATGTATGAGAGTATAGTTTTAACCAACGCTCTTATATGGGTGTGAAGCGTGGTGATGAATGTTGCAGCGAGGAGAAGGCTGGAGGCAGTGGAGATGTCATGTCTGAGGGCAATGTGTGGTGTGAATATAATGCAGAGAATTCGTAGTTTGGAAGTTAGGAGGAGGTGCGGGATTACCAAAACTGTTGTCCAGAGGGCTGAGGAAGGGTTGTTGAGGTGGTTCGGACATGTAGAGAGAATGGAGCGAAACAGAATGACTTCAGAGTGTATCAGTCTGTAGTGGAAGGAAGGCGGGGTAGGGGTCGGCTAGGAAGGGTTGGAGGGAGGGGGTAAAGGAGGTTTTGTGTGCGAGGGGCTTGGACTTCCAGCAGGCATGCGTGAGCGTGTTTGATAGGAGTGAATGGAGACAAATGGTTTTTAATACTTGACGTGCTGTTGGAGTGTGAGCAAAGTAACATTTATGAAGGGATTCAGGAAACCGGCAGGCCGGACTTGAGTCCTGGAGATGGGAAGTACAGTGTCCTGCACTCTGAAGGAGGGGTGTTAATGTTGCAGTTTAAAAACTGTAGTGTAAAGCACCCTCTGGCAAGACAGTGATGGAGTGAATGATGGTGAAAGTTTTTCTTTTTCGGGCCACCCTGCCTTGGTGGGAATCGGCCGGTGTGATAATAAATAATAAAAAATATATATATACGTATATATATATATATATTTTTTTATATATATATATATATATATATATATATATAATATATAATATATATATATATATATAATATATTATATATATGTATGTATGTATGTATGTATGTATGTATGTATGTATGTATGGGCTTTCAGGTGTACGGTAAGCATCATAAATATGCATGCGGATAAGTATGCTTTTAGCAGATTATCTGCCTGACAGTATCAAGAAGTACCAGTACAACTTTTGTATAGAAGACTGTGACCCTTGCCATACTGCTGGTGACAAAAAGGATTGGCTACATTATTGTGATTTCCTACACTTTAATAACTGGCTGGAAACTTGCTGGACTTAATCTGACAGAGAACGTTAAATTTAAGCTTCTTGGCGTAAATGTGTCTTCTAACCTCAAAATCTTTGAGTGCTGTTAAACACGTGTGAGAGAGTATAGACTTTTCTGTCCTCCATAATTTAACCTTATCAGTGCCTAGGAGACTTAAGTAGTGCATCAAGAGGAAGTAAAAGCCCAGGTAATACTAGTTGAGGTGACAAATTAATGAATATTTTGGTATTCTATTTTTAAAACAATAGTTCATGGTGAGCATTCTCATTTTCTGTGTGATCTTTTTATGCAGGTGCATATTTATGATGACTACTATATAGAACAAAAAGGCACAATCCTGTGACTGGAACAGTACACAAATATCCCACACATTGGAGAATGAAACTTATGACAACGTTTGAGTCTGACTTGGACCATTAGCTAGCCTTACACTAACACACCTTTGTGCGTTAACATGTGATTAGTTAATGGTCCAGGTTGGACCCAAAAGTCATGTATGGACTACTATACACAGTAGACCATTATATTACACAGACTTATTTGCCACATTTTGGTTATTGCACTATTAAAAAATTGCGGCATAATTTTATACAGCACTAGTAAAATTAACTTAACATGATTCCGTTTGCGGGTGTGGAAAAAATTTCCCCAGCTCAAGCTGCCACCTTGTGGGTGAGATTGTCGTGTCAGCAAGGGAGATCTACCACCATCCCTGTCACCCCCAACCCTCCCACCTTCCCCATTCCTGCCTTCGTAAATACTTTTCCAGTTTCATTCTTAGGAGATAGCTGTGTTTGTGAATTGTGTTTTGATCTTTTAATTGCCATATCTTGTATCTGCCAAGCAATCATGGCACCCAATAGGCATAACAGTGTTGCTGAAGGTGGTAAGAAAAGGTATAAGAGTTTAAGTCTTAGAGTTATGAAGAAAATAGAGATATTAGACAAGAGATAGCCTGTGGCTTTAATGAAGCATCAGTTTGTAAAATTAAAAAGAATGAGGTAAATATATGAGTGTGTTTGATGAATAACCGACTTACTTGACTGACTGACTTTACTGACTTTAAGTTAGAGTTTTTCACTGAAGAGACCCTGACAGATCTAGAAGCAGTGCTTTGAAATGGTGTCTAGAGCAGCTGATGCCTTACCATCAGCTGTATAATGTATTACAGGGTAAAACAGAATCCATTACAGAATTTATGCACACTCTAGTACAACCACTGACTTCAGTACCAGAACCTCTACCATCCACCTCAGCCCAGTAAGGACCACAGCGTAACTCTCCACTCTCTTCACAATCATCGACAAACACTAGCACCTACAATTTAAGGTAAGAAATTCTATTATTTCTGTTGCATTTGTAGTCTTATGCAGCAAAAACATCATAATACATCACGACAGTGAACTTCAATTACATATTCACTTTTGTTTTTGTAAGATCTGTTGGTCTCAAAAAAAGTTATTTGGCTTTTTTGGGGCTTCCAGGAGTGTAACCCTATTTTTCCCACAAGTTCTTCAGTTTATCTAACACGGATTTACCTAACTTGGCATTTTCAGGAACATAACTACTGTGTAATATAACAGTGCTGTATATTGTATATTGAATTTTTTTTTTTTATTTTAAGTAGATGTTTGCCTGTTTGTCGTAAAGGTAGTAAAGCACATCATGTTTCTTGTTTTAATTTAAAAGACCTGGTTATCTTCAAGAAAGTGCTGGACAGGCACCTAAAGTCAGTACCTGATCAGCCGGGCTGTCATTTGTACGTCGGTTTACGTGCTGCCAGCAGTAACAACCTGGTTGATTAGACCCTGATCCACCACGAGGCCTGGTCTCAGACCAGGCCATGGGGAGCGTTGACCCCTGAAACCCTCTCCAGTTATACTCCAGTAAACAAAATTTGCTAAAAGTATTCAGGAGGGATCATGCTATATCATGGTCATTTTCATTAGTTATTTAAAAATTAATGGTTAAGGCCAAAATTAAAAGGTTTTCACCGTGTGTGCATGAAACACTTTATTCATTTGTTGCCACTGCAGTACAATAGGATTTGAAACACATGGCAAGGTGAGCTTATTTATTAGTTAATGGTTTGCACAATATAGTGCTTTTTCAAGTCTATACACTAGATAAATCCCTTTACCAAGGAATTTATCAAGTGTTTTTTTAATTTTCAACATGTCGGCTGTTTCCCACGGAGGCAGAGTGACCCAAAAAAGAAAGAAAAACCCATAATCACTGTCTTTGCAGAGGCACTCAGGTATGACAGCTTAGACTACATACTTGATAAAGTCCTGTTTAGAGCAGAACCTTGATTAATAAAAAGGCTCGCTCTGCTTCATGGGTTTAACACTCCTATATTTTTTAGCTACTGGCTATTCACTACACTGCAATATATATTTTGTTGGTAACCATTTTGAATGGGAAGACATGATGTTAAACATAGGATAGACAAGAGCATCTGTCTTATAAATGCATTTCTATTTTAACTTAATGCTTTCTTTGAAGAGTAAAGCTTTATTTGAAAATAAAAACTGCTTTGAACTGTTTTTTAACACAATACAGTTGAACTGCAGTTGTTGACTGCATTACTTGTCAGACAAATCTGTTTTTGAATGAGGTGCTCGAGAAAAAAAGTCCTGGTTTTCATACATTCTCTTGGTTGTTGACAGACAAGTTTTCCCATGTACAGAACAGGGCAAGTTTTGCATGTATGGAATGGGACAAAGCAGCTCAGGTTACATGCTCACAGAATGCTCACTGCTGGACAGTGGGTTGAGAGGAAGGGAGGAGAAGGGATTATGTGCCCATTGCACTTGTCAAGGAAATATGTGCTGAATGGCATGAAATGCAGGAGTTTGCTGAAAAATGCCCTCCAGAGAAAGAAGTGGCCATCCATCTCTCTAACATGTACAGTAACAGTGTAATGTCTAAATTTAGACAGCCAAAACAGAACCTGAAACAAATCTCACTGGACATGTTTTTAGTGAGACCAAGAACCATTGAGCCAGAACAAGGTGTTAGTGGTGAAAAGAGACAAAGAAAAGAAACAACAACAGAAGGACAATTGCCTGACATAGTAATAGAAGGTGACTCTCCTTTCAAGCAGTAACAACCTCCCTCCTCTCCTCCACCTTCTGACAGGTAAGGGGCAGTTAAATTTTAATTTACTGTACAGTATTTCAGTTAAATTTTCATTTAGTATTCAGTTTCAGTTTCCCTGTACTGTATAATTTTATACATTGTTTTACGTAGTGGTTAATAAATTATTAATATATTATTATATTGTCATTTGGGGTCTGGAATGGATTAATTCTATTTGCATTATTCTTTATGGGAAAATTTTTTTGGTTGTCGATTTTGGTTGTCGAATCAACATCTGGAGCAAATTAAATTAAAAAACTGAGGTTCCACTATACTTGCTAGTCAATAGTTCCTGCTCCTTGTTCTTGAAAAATAATTAGCAGAATTTAGTTTTTATATGGTGGAAACTAATTTTGTTTACCAATACACTGTAACTTTTCAGCCGTGGAATGAGATACGAAAATGTTTCATTACTACTTGAAGGCATAGAGGACCTAATAGGGAAAATGCTTTACTGTTGGGTTGATAAGGAAGGCACTATCTGTCGGCAGAATGGAGTCTTCAGAATCAACTGCATCGACTGTCTTGATCGCACTAATGTTGTTCAGGTAAAGTGATAAACAACTTTGGTTGAATTTTTAATTTTTTTTTATTAATATTTCTTTTTCTCTCCATGAGGAAGTGGAACAGAATTCTTCCTCCGTAAACCACATGTGTCGTAAGAGTTGACTAAAATGCTGAAATACTAAATCACTAAATTTAGGTCTGCGTGCCTCAGTGGGATATGGCTGGTTCATTAAAAAAAAAAAAAAAATCCTTTTCTGGTTGCTTCTTCAAGACCTGTAACTTGAATTATTAGTTATCTTAGTCTTAATGCTGGGTATACATTGAGAGTTATTTGATGTTTATATTTAGTTTTTCTCAATTTTGCTCCTAGTATGGTTGTTTCCTGTTTTGGTTTTAAAACTTTTGGTATATATAGGTGTCCTACACATTCATGGGGGATGAGAGTTACATTCTAGAAACCACGTACAATACGAAATTAAATCTTCACACAAATTTTGTTTTATATTTGGGTTTATTTTGTGTTTCGAGACCATATTTTTGTGATATATCATGTTAATCTCCTTAATATTGTTATTCATAAGAAATAATGAGGAAAATAAAGATTTAGGTGGGAAAACTGTAAAGCCAGTAAAATATTAGATAGCTGAAATTATTTGCTGGCTGCTAATCAGTAAAAAACGCTTGATAATAAAAATCCACAAATAGAGAAGCCTACAAACTTTGATGACCATACAGTAGTTGAGTTTTCTTAAACTGAAGAAAAGAGTTAATAAATTACTAAAAGTGTTATCATAGGGGTTCTTAAATGGAGATATTGAGGGTTGAAGGTAGACACACTAGTTGGATGGTAACGATATATTGTCAGACTCTGGTAAAGGAAGATGGAGCCCAGCCTCTGCCTTGTCACTGCCTATGTCAAACGCCGACTGAGACCGAGGTAGCTAGCTCGCCTCACACTCAAGCTGTATCCCGTGACGTCACACAAACAGTCACAGGCCTAGGGATCTCCTATCTAAAGCTCATGGATGATACTGATATGCTATACAACACAGGGATCAGCAACTGTGCTGACAGCTCGGTCATGTTACGTATGTCGTCTCGACATACACTACTATCTATAGGCTGAACAGGCAGGTGGTTCTGGGCTGATTCTATACAATAACAAATTCATATATAACTTAGAACTAATGGATGGTATCATACTGGATGTTAACAAAATGAATTTTACGTAATGGGTGTTAACGTAATCACTTTTAACGTAATGATTTTTAACGCAATGCATTACAAACTATAAGAACAAATCATTGTACGATATGGATGGAATTGATCGATCGATCTGTATTCATGCACTCTACGGATTCTGAGGAAGAATAAATATATATATACAAGGTGAAATTAACAGCAAAGGTATCTGGTGCACTCAGACTATTACTGTCAAATTCTCAGAACACGGAGGGAACATGAATACGAAAAAAAAAAATTCTGAAAAACTAATCAATTAATACAAACAGTTGACAATTTACTTCATCTCGGACATCTAGTTATACAGACTATGTACATTTAAACCCAATTCTGCGAGGGTGAGGTTTACATATGCAGAATGGTTATCATCTCTGGGAGGATCGAATTCCTCTGCAATGGCTAAAACATGCCTTGACTAAGGGAGATCTGAACGAGTATCTACAAAAGATACAGCTACATGGACGATCTGAACGAGTATCTACAAAAGATACAGCTACATTCACTAGTGACTGTGGAATTACTAACTTCTGCTAGGAGTGCTCAACTCGACTGTTCGATACAGTAATTCTTGGCTCATTACAAAGTCACTGATGGGTGCTGGTGGCTTCACAGTAAGAATAAGATCTTCCTGGAGCAGGAATCGAATCACCAGAACACAAGGGATCGGTTCTTTCTTACTGGAGGAATGCACAAACTTGGTGGAGTGGATGACTCTCCCCGGTTTAAAAAATTAACGCTATAACACGCAATATGAGCAAGGGAGAACGAATCTATTATCTCAAACTGCAAGCACAGGAGAAAATAAATGAACACTTTCAACAATGCTGATATCCAATCTGAGTCGCACACAGTGACACGAGGTATCAGCTATAAAGAAACTACACTTACAAACGTTAGCAACACGTGAAAGTTACTCGAGAAATAACTTCTTACAATGCACTGATTACTGTCAACTAGGATGGGATCACAATCTGAAACACAAGGGACAACAACAACACTCAAGTGAGCACACTAGTCACAACAGAGACGTCTTTCTGCAGACTGCATGTGACATCAACAAGAGATGGCATTACTAGTTTCAAATAATTGTTTTCTGACAAGGCGTCCCCTGTGGAGAAACTACTACTTGGACTAGCAGACATTGCAGGGATAGGCAGAGCACTCAAAGCAGTCTGAGCGTCCTCGGACACTTGAGGCAATACACTATCTTGCATATCTGAAGGTGTAGGTGGAACACAGATGGGAGTGGCAGAGTTACCAGTGCCTGACCGCTTGGGTACGCTACTGGAGAATGCATTGGCTTGTAAGGACTTAATCCGTACATCATACTCTGCAGCAGTATGGCAGATTTCTGATCCAAGCTGGTAACCCCTGAATGGAACGATCAAGTCGTCAATTTGGGCATGCCATCGGTACGGGTCGAGCACAATGTGTAAGTCTCGCATGGAAGCAAATCCCAGTAGAAGGTCACCAGGGGGGAAAGTAATCTGGTCGACAACAAGAAAAGCAGCAGTAAAGTCTCTTCCTTGGATAGTAAAGGTGAGCGAAGTCTGACCTCGGACTCGCAGAAGGGAACCAGCTACTCCACTAAGGGAGGTTACAGTAGTTGGTTCAACGAGGAGGACACGGCGTAACTGCTTCTCTTTAAACAAGCTAGACCTGATGATATTAACTTGCACACCAGAGTCCATGAACACATGAACGGGCACATTATGGACAGAAGCTTGTACTAAAGGACCAATCGTTTCGTTAGGAGTTATATGCAAACAGAAAGGTGGGTTGTCATCGGAGAAGGCATTTTCTACTTCATCCCCAAGTTCCTCTACATCAGAGACGTGTGAAGCAACATTAACAGCGAGGTTGTCATTCTCAAGGCTGGCTAAGGCTTCATAGGAATTTTGAACTGGGATGGTGTACTCATTATCACCTACTGTCACGACTGGACGAGTAGACTTGGGCGCTCGGATTCCCCCGAATTGGAAGAATGAGCCTGGTTCTGGTTAGTTTGTGAACCACGATGTCTGTTTTCTCTCCTGGCTCTGCGGTTGGAACGGCCACGGAAAGATCTAGAGTACTGCAGGTTGTAGAGAGCATTGCACTCAGATGTGTCATGTCCATGAATTCTATGATAAGTACAGTAGGGAAGATCTGACTGGTACTCATCATCAGTACGACGCTTCTTAGGGTGACTATCATGACAATTAATAGCAATATGGCCACGGTAACCACAATTGTAGCAAGTTCTTTGACTGTGGGTACTGTACATACTACAGGTGCTACGGGAATGATGGCTCTTAACACTAGCTTTGGACGATGGACGCGAGTGATTAAGGTTGGGAGTTTTGGTAGTAGCACAAACTAGAGGAGGTACAGGAGTAGACAAAGTGGTTGGCATAGACTTACGATAAGGGAAGGTTCCATCGGGACACAAATTTCGTACATGGATGAGAGCTGCAAGCGGTCCCATAGTAGCATCTAGCGGACTTGAATTGTACACATACATAGATGTCGGTGGCATTAGTTGTTTGATAACTCCAAATGCGGCTAATTTGGCAAACCCATCAAGGACTGGTTTATCACTATCTTTAAGGTACTTGGAATTTTGACCTGCTTTAACGAATGAGGACATTAGGTTATTAAGACGAAGAGCAAACTCATCTAATAACTCTTCTGGCCTCGGAGCTGTGCAAACTAATTCTTTGAGAACAACAAACGGATCGGTTTCTCGCACCGGTTCAAGATAATTGCGAATTAACTGTTCATAATCTTGCCACCTGGTTAGATCTTGAAAGTCCTTCATACGAATTAAGTTGAATACATGTGAGGCGGCTGGAGAACGGGCTAGACTCTCCTTTCCGATACTAATTAAACAACTCTCAGATGGAAGACCATCTACTGAAGCATTAGCTCTGGCTCTAACAGCGGTAAACCAATCTTCTAGGTTGTCAGGATTACCATTGAACAATGGCATAGCATCATATGGATCACGACTGAAATTACGCAGGCTAGAAGTCTGAGTGTATCTTTCGTTTTATAAGGAGTTACTCGAGTTTTGGGCTGACGCATTAATGGTTGTACTAGCAGCGTGTGCTGAGGCATCGCTTGAGAAGACTTGAGACATATTTGCAAAATGTAAAACAAGAATTTAGAGAAACTAAAGAAAATGTAACTGAGGAACACACAACACAGTGAGCTTAAATGGGAAGAAAATGCTTAACTATTCTTCATAAGTAATTAAAAATTGACAGGTCACACAGTAAGCAAAGAAACTCACACAAGAAAAATATGCAATTGAATGAACAACACTTTGAAAATCAAGAGAACTTGTACTTTACTCAAATCTAATTTGTGGAACTTTTACTTTAAATTGAATGAATGGCACAGTGAGTTGTCTTTACTCTCAATGCAATAGGGAAATACACAATAAAATGATAAATCAATCAAAAATGTTAAAATGGACTCATTAAAGCTTGTGCAAAATTAAAACAAACTGGGACACAATTCACTGGAATAAAATAAAATGGCACAGAAAGAATAAAATATTATGCACAGAACAGAGCATATGAAACTGCACTGAAATAACTGTAGCAATATTGCAAATAACAATTGCTAATCAAAAAGTACTGCACAACACTGCATAAAATTTCTGCAAGAAAAATTTTAAAGACAACACAATATTTGCACAAGAATTATTGCAAAATGAGTCAATGTGCAATAATAAAAATTATTACACACACAAGAAAAGAAATATATCAAGGAAAGAACACTTTAACTCTTAACTACAACTTAACACTTAACAAGCAAAAGAACAATTTACTCTAACAGAAGAACTTAAAAAATTGCACTAAGAGTGAATTTGTTCAATGAAACACGAAAAATAATAGGTGCTAAAACACAGAACAAAAAAAATTTGAACACTTACAGTGATGCAGAACACAACACATCAACATAAATACAATACTAGAATTTTCTTGCAATGCAACTTGATGTGTGAAAACTTTGATAAAAATAATTTCTTGCTTGCACAAAACAATGGCACTATTGTCTGTGGAAATAAGACAAATTAGACACTGGCTAAATGAAAAGAATATGAACACAAGAATGTTCAACACACAGAACAAAACAATAATACACAACTGCTAGGAAGAAAAAATGCAACAGACAACACTGAGTTGTGATGCAGGATACAACTAAATAAATGACTGAATTAATTCACTGGAATACTGAGAACACAAGGTGATTCTGAAGTGCAAACACAAGTTCTATACTGCTCATATGTTGCACACACAACAAAGGAAAAACACTAGGTACTTACTTCAAGTGTATAAAAGAAACACAACACAACAGATATAAGATAATGCTTGGAAATTAACACTGAATTAAGGAGATTATCAAATTATTGCAATCAGTATATAATAAACACTGAGTCTGATCAAGAGTCACTGAATGTCACTAAGAGAAAAATCGCTGGAAACAAAAAAAGAAATATCTCAACACTCGCAAATGTCTCTATGAACAATATTATCGCTGTAACAACTTGGTGTAGAATGAGGTAGATGGTGGAAGGTTGGAGGTGGAGGGTAGAGGAGACTGGTGGCTGACTACGATCACTGACTTCTCTCCACACTCGAAGAATTTGCGCTTAAATCGACGATAGACTCACACAGGAGGCTTTCAACTGTGGCGCCACTGTCGAAGACACACTCTAGCTCTTGACCCCCTATGTGGTCCTTAAAATATGGTGCTATAACCCCTAGTAGTGTGCCAAAACACTGGTAGAGGTTGGGTGAGTGGGTTAATGGCTGAGTGAGGCGTCTGAGGCCGCGTGGTGAGTGGATGGGTGGGTTTGTGGGCATAACAGGGCTAAGACCGGGGGTGGTGAGACACACGTGGTCGTGGGCCTATGGGATGAACGGCGTAAGCCTCACTGAGGACACCCACACTGGCGCGAAGATATTCTAAGCTGGCTGGCTTAAAATACACCCATGAAATACCACAACACCACAGGGATGAAAAAGAGCACTCAGAATTGCTTGGAGCTTGAATCACAAGCGATGAAGACTACTCACGTGGTTTGCTTGAGTACTGGGGTAAGACACCTGGGTTAGTTGCTAGCTGGCTTATCTTAGCCCTTCACACAGAATAGCTTGAGAACTTCTCACGATGAGCACAGCAGGGGTGAAAAGCTGGCTTGGCAGGCAAAGAAACTGGATGGAATAGGCTAGGCTGGACTGGACTCCCTCACCACAGACTGGTAGCTGGCTTACTTTGCAAACTCGGGTCAACCCCTCGGGAGTGATGCAAATAAGCAGATAAACACTAATACAAAGAGACTGACCAGTGAATGGTGTAGAAGCTGGTAGGAGCTTGGGCGGGAGGAACTGGCTGAGGTAGCTGGCTGGCGTTAACCTTCTCAGCAGGCCTACTCACAAGATGGCAGCCGGCTCGGTAGAAACTTATCTCCAGAAATCGCTGTAATCGCCAGAATTACAGGCCCTCCGCTGTCACCATTTATCGTAGGGGTTCTTAAATGGAGATATCGAGGGTTGAAGGTAGACACACTTGTTGGATGGTAACGATATATTGTCAGACTCTGGTAAAGGGAGATGGAGCCCAGCCTCTGCCTTGTCACTGCCTATGTCAAACGCCGACTGAGACCGAGGTAGCTAGCTCACCTCACACTCAAGCTGTATCCCGTGATGTCACACAAACAGTCACAGGCCTAGGGATCTCCTATCTAAAGCTCATGGATGATACTGATATGCTATACAACACAGGGATCAGCAACTGTGCTGACAGTGTAATGAACACTTGTCAGTGCTCAGTAATAACCCACATGGAGACAAACTCAGAAAATTAATTGATCTGTATATTTTGACCCCCTTTCTTGGGTCCTTTGCTGAAGAGGACCCCAGCAGGGTGGTCAAAATATATAGATAAGTGAATTTTCTGAGTTTCTATCTCTATGTGATTAGATTTTTTTTTTTATTTAACAAGTCGGCCGTCTCTCACCGAAGCAGGGTGACCCAAAAAGAAAGAAAATCCCCAAAAAGAAAATACTTTCATCATCATTCAACACTTTCACCTCACTCACACATAATCACTGTTTTTTGCAGAGGTGCTCAGAACACAACAGCTTAGAAGCATATACGTATAAAGATACACAACATATCCCTCCAAACTGCCAATATCCCAAACCCCTCCTTTAGAGTGCAGGCATTGTACTTCCCATTTCCAGGACTTAAGTCCAGCTATATAAAAATAACCAGTTGCCCTGAATCCCTTCACTAAATGTTACCCTGCTCACACTCCAACAGATCGTCAGGTCCCAAATACCATTTGTCTCCATTCACTTCTATCAAACACGCTCACGCACACCTGCTGGAAGTCCAAACCCCTTGCCCACAAAACCTCCCTTACCCCTTCCTTCCAACCTTTTCGAGGACGACCCCTACCCCGCCTTCCTTTCCCTACAGATTTAAACGCTCTCCATGTCATGTGATTAGTATTATTATTATTATAATACATACATGTTTCTCTCTTTATGGGTTCATTTATGCAAGTTTGCTGTTGTGCAATGTTTCATTTTTATCCATAATTCTGTGTGTGGGATATACGTGTGGTGTATGCAGTTGGTAATATTTACAAAATGTGTTTAGAAATGTATTATGTGGAATTGGATATTGATTTGATAAATGCTCCATTGTGGGTGAAATGTAGAATAAAGCTTTTGCTTGCTTAAAGTGTCTTTGAGTTACCACTATTCATTCTCTTATATTTCTCAGCAAGAGTCTTATCTTGAACTGTTCTTTTATATATGTCACATTTACTAAACTTCACATTAGTATATGTATTGAATTCCATTTAATTTTTCAGACTGCCATTGCCAAATCAGTATTAGAAGGACAGTTCGTCAAACTGGGTATGATCCCTCCTGAGCATCCACTGCCACCTGCTTGCCGCTCCACTCTTCAGACTATGTGGGCTAATAATGGAGATACTATTAGCAAACAGTATGCAGGAACCTCAGCCCTCAAGGTGAACTTGATTAATTTTTATTCAGTAGATTTTTGGATTACAATGCAATGCACATCTCTGGCAATACAGTGCTAGTGTAGATGATGGTGAAAGCATTTCTTTTTCAGGTCACCCTGCCTTGGTGGGAGGCAGGCAGCATGTTAAAAAAAAAAAGCTCAAGTTTCTCAGAATGCAAAACAATTAAGTCTCTTCTGTTTAGATATTATTTCATAATTCATGGGAAAGTGATTGTTGCATCATTTGTATACAGTGGACCCCCGCTTTATGATCAGCTCCCAATGCGACCAATTATGTAAGTGTATTTATGTAAGTGCGTTTGTACGTGTATGTTTGGGGGTCTGAAATGGACTAATCTAATTCACAATATTCCTTATGGGAACAAATTCGTTCAGTAATGGCACCTGAACATACTTCTGGTATGAAATAATATCGTAAGCCGGGGGTCCACTGTATTTTTTATATTTTTATATTACCAGTTGTAGTATTTTTAATGTGGGGTAAAGATTAGTCAGCATCATCTATCCATTGAAGGCAGTGATGTTTCTTTTAGTTTTTTTTCTTGGGTCTTAGAAAGGATTTTTTTACATCTTAGTACACAGTTATTAGGCCCTATTGTAGTTCATTCTCATATCAGAGTTTCAGAGGTTTTGTATGCACGGGGCCTGGATATGCAGCAGGCACGTGTAAGCGTATTAGATAGGAATGAGTGGGGATGAATGGTTTTTGGTACCTGACAAGCTATTAGAGTGTGAGCAGGGTAATATTTTGTGAAAGGATTCAGGGAAACCAGTTAGCTGTACTTGAGTCCTGGAGGTGGGAAGTACAATGCCTGCACTTTAATGGAGGGGGGTTTGGGATATTGGCTGTTTGGAGTGACATCTAAACTGTCATATCTGGGTGCCTCTGCAAAGAGAGGGATATTGTGTGAATGATGGTGAAAGTGTTTCATTTTGGGTCATCCTGCCTCAGTCGGAGACGGCCGACGTGTTGAAAAAAAAAAAGTGTACAGAGTTTGCAGTGTTTAAGAAGAGCATGTACTGGCAATGATGCCAGACCTCACAAAGCTGTATGAAAAGCCTAACACTTGTTGGCTTCAGTCATGAACTTGTTCTAATTTGTTAATATTTTTGTAGTGCATGTGCCTCAGTGGATTATATTAAGATAATTATATGTTTTTTAATATAGTCATGCATAGCTGATGTTATCTTTTCCTTTTGGTGATATTCTGGATTCATATGAGAACTATTTTTACCAAAGGGAGACTTCACCAGAACTGGAGAGAGAAGGTTTGCTGGCATGATGAAAGATGGGATGAACTCTGCAAACAGGTGGGTGACAATCTCTGATAACAGTAGATGTACTAGCCACTTTAGAAAATGCATTTGTTTGAGTTGATAATGGCTTGAATTTTTTTTTTAATATAGTGCATACCATATATTTGAGCCCCAAGTTACATATATAGTGCATGCAGACATGAACAGATGACTGGTTGCATATAAGCACTGCCAAACACAGGCCTTTATGCTTGCATGCTTGTTCATATCATTGTAGTATAAGCATTTATACTTAAGCAGATGTATTCCTGCAAGAGATTCAGATATAAATACCAATGACAAAGCAAAGATAGATACTTGCATATAAAATTGTACTTTAAATCCTATATTACTTGAAAATTGTAAATGTTTATGACATATAAAACAAGGGTCTTTACTCATACCCAATTCTTATTATGACATATAAAAGAAGGGTCTTTACTCATACCCAATTCTTATCTTTTTTCCTAAACCAAAACATTTATCACTATTTTTAATGGAATGCTGCTGCTTAGCATTTGGTGTAAGTTTTAACATTTTAAAATTTTTGGCAGTTTTCTGTGATGAGTTCTTGCTTTGTTCTCCATTTCTTCTTAATCCTTTGTAAATGCTACTGCTTCTGTTTTTTTTTTTTTTCATTATTATTCTCCATGTACTTCTGTTTCTTCTTCTTCTTTTCTGTTTCTCATGTTCTTAATAAGGTAACACAGCTTTCTGTATTCCGACTTGTCAATACAAAATAAATCTTGGAATTGTTATTGGCACGAAGCTAACAGTCCATTAATTTTAGAAAAAAAATTTTGAGGGGTATTTTTCTGAGCTTTCTCTAAGTAGAGTTATATCAAGCTCACTACACTTGACCTCTGATCCCACCTCATGCTCTCAGCAGTGCTGAATAAAAAATAGTGGACAGATCCTTTTCAGATTAAGTTTTTCTAATACATAGAGTGTATCTTACAAACAACTACTGAATGGTGAATGTGTTTTCTTCTTAGAGTCACAACTGATGTGATACAGGTTGGCCATCACTAATCTGGCATCATCGGGACCTGTGGGTACTAGATTACAGAGTGTTTAAGTTAGAATACACCTAACCCGACGGTGATATTTATGCATTGGCGATTTCCACCACTTTATGCCCTATTTTTGCCCATTCCATTGTTCTAATCAACCAAACTCATAGCTATTTTGCTAGTATTCCTTCTGTTTGTCAGTTGAGTACAAGAAACCGCCCATTTACCTATTTCAACTAATAAACTGGTCAGAAATTGGTAATTTGGCCAATTTCACACAAATTTCAAGAGATGCCAGTTTGAAAATAGGGTCCAGAATAAACAGTGCAGACATTTATTAGTCACATCTCTAGCCTCTCTTATATTTTGAATTTTTATTCACACAAAAAATAGAAGATTTACTGTTATGCAGAATACTGCTTTATTGCAATAATTATATAAATAACGTCAACCCATTCATGACTGTGTATTAGACCAGCCAGTTGGACATATACTTGATGGTGATGTCATTTGTTTACTCTTGAACATCAACAAAAATTGAACTTTCTGCTGCTTTAAGCTCATTTTTATGGTACTTTTCGGCGTGAAACCAATCAAAATTATATCTTTCAGTAATACAGCCTCTTCTCACATGACAACAGAGTTCCGTTCCTACGACCTCGTCGGTAAGTGATTTTGTTGCAAAGTGAGGAACATACTATAATGGTAGTGGGTTTATGTCAACCATCTTTGATATTGTTTTAATGGCACCTTTACAGCATCTATAACATTTCTGTTATATTTTTAAATGTTTACACAATAGTGTACTGTATATTGTAATAAACAGAATAGAGAAAATCAGCTTTAAAATACATTATTTAGGTATACATACTGGTCAGAGAGGCCGTCGTAAGTCCGAGTTGTCGGTAAATGAGTACATTGTTAAGTGAGGAGAGGCTATGTTTTCCATTCTATCAAATGAGACCAAAAAAAATGAGAATACAATCATACAAGCCATATGAAAATACACTGCAAACTTGCTGCACCAAAAACACAGTCGCCTATTTTTGTCATTTATGCACTGCGTGCTGTAGGACTTTTTGTATGTGGTGCACACTTACCACACAGACCTATTCTCTCATATGTAGGCCCAAATTTACTGGTCACAGCTTATCTGAGTGAGCTGAGCTCATAGTGACCAACAGTGGCTTCAAAGCCACCTTATCTTGTATGGACAATGTACAGTGTATGTGCTTTACACAACAAGAAGCATTTCTTTTATTCATTGGACCCATAGCTATTTATTTATTTATTTATTTATTAATTTGAACATGATACAGAGAAGTACAAGGAATACAATTTTTAAAGTGCAGCATGCCAAAGCCCCTTGTATGCAGAGCATTATGGGCAGGCTTAAAATTAACTTAAGATTAACTAAGCAATGATATTTTCAGTGGTACAAAAATGATTGTAAAACAGATAACAATTTAGTACAAATGAGTATTACAAAGACAGGTCATATGGTCATTTACTGTGTTGCTGTGTAATCAGTAGAATGGAGTATTCTGTTAGGTAATGAAGTTAAATAGTAACAAAGCTTGATTGGGTCACAGGTTGACATTTATGAGATACAATAATGAGATACATATATGAGATACAATTTATGAGATACAATTATTCAGTATTTATTTAGTTGTGGGTGAGTAAGTGATTTTTGAGAAGAGACTTGAATTTATAAACAGACAGTGCTTCTTTTATATTCACAGGTAATGAATTCCAGATTTTAGGGCCTTTTATGTGCATTGAGTTTTTGCATAGCGTGAGATGGACACGAGGAACATCAAAGAGTGATCTGTGCCTTGTGTTATGGTCATGTGTTCTGTTGAGGTTGGTAAGGAGATGTTTGAGGGGAGGGTTTATATAAGAGTTAAGTGTTCTATGAATGTAATAGGTGCAGTAATAAGTATGGATGTTTTGTATTGTGAGTAGGTTTAGAGTTTTGAATATTGGTGGAGTGTGCTATCTGTAGTGGGAATTTGTTGTCATTCTGACTGCAGCCTTTTGTTGGGTGATTAGTGGTCTGAGATGGTTTATTTTTGTTGAGCCCCATGCACAAATTCCATAGGTGAGATAGGGGTAAATAAGTGAGCGATATAGGGCCAGGAGGGCTGACTGTGGAACATAGTACCATATCTTCAATAGTGAGCAGGTTATAACCGTAAATGGAGAAAAAGAAATTAGAATGACTTACACAGCAAATAACGCCACCAAATAGTAATGGTAGGCTGGTGTTGCGACCCCAGAAATTTGAAATTATGCTAGCCAAAATTAGTGCTGGATTACTGATGGAACCTGATTACTGATTGCCAGATTAGTGATGGCCAACCTATAATAGGAAAATATAAATATATGCTAACACCAGACATCTCATGGAAATATCTTAACACCCATAAGAAAAATTGTTGTTTGTGAAGAGTGATTTTTTTAATGCCTTTGTTTTCTTACTTTTTATTCTTCCGTGAGATATTTTGTTATTTTCTCATATTTGGTGTTCCATATATTTAACCCTTAACCCGTAAACGGTCCAAGCAGATCTACGTTCACATGTGTAGTGCTACAAAAGTAGATCTACGTTTTTTTTACATATTTTCAAATATAACAAAAAAAAAAGTAGATCAAAGTTTTTTACACATTTTCAAATGTAAAAAAGCAAAAAGAAGATTTACTTTTTTTACACACTTTCAAATGTTGAGAAAACGTATATATACGTTTGGACCGTTTACGGGTTAAACTGTCCAAATGTAGATCTATGTTTTTTCAACATTTGAAAGTATGTAAAAAAAAGTAGATCTTCTTTTTTTTTTTTTTACATTTGAAAACATGTAAAAAAAACTTTGATCTACTTTCTTTTTGTTATATTTGAAAATATGTAAAAAAAAATGTATATCTACTTTTGGAGCACTACGCATGTGTACATAGATCTGCTTGGACAGTTTAAGGGTTAAAATACATTTATATAGAATTTTTTGTCTTCTAGCAAATCTGTGATACTTTTTTTAACACGTCAACCATCTCCCACCTAGGCAGGGTGACCCAAAAAAAGAAAGAAGCATTTCACCATTATTCACACACAATCACTGTCTTTGCAGAGGTGCCCAAAATACATCAGATCGAATGTCACTCCAAACAGCCAATATCCCAAACCCCTCCTGTAAAGTGCAGGCTTTGTACTTCCCACCTCCAGGACTGAAGTCTAGCTAACTGGTTTCCCTTAATTGCTTCACAAAATATTATCCTGTTCATACTCTAAAAACTCGTCAGGTCCCAAAAACCATTCGTCTCCATTCACTCTTATCTAACAATCTCTCACGTGCCTGCTGCATGTCTAAGCCCCTTGGACACAAACACCTCTTTTACCCCCACCCTCCATCCTTTCCTAGGATGACCCCTACCTCTCCTCCCCTCCGCTAGAGATTTATACACCCTCCAAGTCAATCTATTTTGCTCCATCCTCTCTAAATGACCAAACCATCTCAACAACCCCTCTTCAACCCTCTGAATAATACTTTTAGTAACTCCACACCTCCTAATTTCCACACTACAAATTCTCTGCATAATATTTACACCACACATTGCTCTTAGACACGACATCTCCATTGTCTCCAGCCGCTTCCTTGCTGCAGCATTTTTACAACCCGTGCTTCACACCCATATGAGTGTTAGTATCACTATACTCTTGTGCATTCCTGTAATATATAATCGCTTATGTTTTTATATTTTAACCCTTTCAGGGTCCAGAGGCCAAATTTCAAAGTGTGCACCAGGGTCCAAGAATTTAAAAAAAAAAATTTTGTTATTTTTCTTATGAAATGGTAGAGAATCTTTTCTGAAGGTAATAAAACAAAAAGTATTAAATTTGATGGAAAATTGACCAAATTATGCTCTCGCGAATTTTGATTTGTCAGCGATATTTATGCATCGACGATTTTGCTGACTTTGACTCCCATTTTAGGCCAATTACTT